ATTTAGAGCAAAAGACTAAGATCAATTTAAGCAAAATAGCTAAAATACATACAAAATACACTTTGGGAAAAGAGAACTAGTTTTGAGTATTTTGGGTTCGGCATTCTGTCCAGGCTTTTTAATCGCTGCTTGTGGTCAAGTTTACGTAGTGGTGGAGTCGTCCCCTGTTCATCGTTTCCAGTTCGCTGCCCCAACAAGGTAAAATAACTCTTGGCCTTTGTCCTTTCTTCTCCTCGATTCCAATGAGCGCTGAATAATGACATATTCGTTGTTGGTTACTAGCTGATCTTACATGATTTGTTTTCGAGCCTAAGTTGCCTTTTTTTGTTTTTAATATTTTCGAGCCTAAGTTGCCTTCTTTTGTTTTTAATATTTTCGAGCCTAAGTTGCCTTCTTTTGTTTTTAATATTTTCGAGCCTAAGTTGCCTTCTTTTGTTTTTAATATTTTGTTTACAGTCTTCTTAAGTTTCATGAGTGATGTTTCTTGTTTAAAGCTTTGGTTTGTCCCTTTATTAATCGCAGCGATATCGTTCTTTTTTATTTTGATGAAATAATGTTCATGCCTTTGGCTATGTGTTTAGAGGATGCCGAAATAGTTACTGAGCCGTTGCTTGTGCTTGTTTTCGAGTTTCAATCTTGTTATGTTCGGATTGTGGGTCTTATTTCATATTTTTCGGTATTTCGGTTTTGTTTAAATCGTTGACAATGTTGTTTTTTTTTTTTGTTTTTTCCAGAAATTATATAAATTGTCTATCTGTTTGCATCTTTTCCGAATTCGTGATCTTTGTGCTCGCTTAGAGTCTTAGCTTGTTCTCACTGGATAATTACGCTATTGTTTTGTTCTTATTTCGTTGAAATGGCACTTATACTTGCATTATGTGTCCGGAAGGTGTCGAATGAATAATATGGTTGTACATTTAACCGCTTTTGAATATAAGTCGGAATTCGGAGTTTTTGCTCTTTAAAGCACGTTCAAGACCTGTTTATACCTCGTTTCGATAGGAAATTATTCCATACCTATTCCATTGAGTCTAATGGTCTGTTTCTCTTGTTCACTCGTGTATGTTTTCACTTATTTCTTGCTCTAAAAGATGTTAACTATTTCCTTATGGAAGTTCACTATTACTTTAAAATAAAAATGAGAATGGAATTGGAAGAGGTTATATGTTAATGTTTTGAGGTGCATTGCAACAGTGACCAACATATATTGCCAATTCTTTGGTAAGAATGTAATTTGTCTTCATTATGTTTAGTTTCCATTTGGGCCAATTTCACTGATCATGTAGCCAATTAGCATGAGCATATTAATTCTCCTATTTGTCAAGTTGCTTAATATGTTATGGGGTGCATTTGTTAAGAGCTAGATAAGCGTTGAGTTGATTTTAACATCGAGGTTAGCCGTTGTTTGGTTTCACGGCAGATTTTGACAAAGAGTTCTTAATATTTTATTTCTTTTTTTTATTATTTTTATTTATTTATTTTTACTAACTTGAAAATCATTTCTAAGATTAGTTCATTCTTTGATGCCTTACAATTTTGCATTCTAAGTTGGTCTATATTAATTTGTGGTTACGGGTTGATCATTGCTTCTAATGCATCAATATATTTATGCGCATATTTTTCTAATGTCTATCTAGTTTGGTTCTTGACATAATCATAGCTAATTAAAAATTGTTCAATGCCTTCGGTGATATTCAAGCGGTAGTATTTATTTTATTTCACTATTTTCTTATATTAAACCATTGAATTGTTGCTTACATTTTATTTATTTGTGTTTGCATGTGAAATCTGTCCGGGTCCTCACGGACTCGACCCTCACATTTTCCTTTGGGCCATGGAGGCCCAATTATACCTTTATTGAGTCGGTCAGCCTATTAAAAATTGGCAAACAGGTCCCGGAGCCTGAAGATATGCATCGAATCAGAGAGTTGAAGAAATCGGGTCAAAAAAGGCCCACATTTTGTTATTAAAATTGTATTTTGTTATGTCTGGGCCTAAGCCCACTTATCTTTGTCTTGCTAGAATTTAGGACAGGTGGAAAATCGGGCCTGGGCCCAAATAATATTCTATTTTTATGTTAGACTAGGACAGGTGTAGATGACTCAAATGGGTCAAAGACCCAAAACGAAAATGGGTCCAAATATTGGTCCAGGCGGACAGAAACCAGATTTGGGCCCAACTATCTTTCCCTCTTTACTTTACTGTAGTCATTTTATTTGTTAGTATTTGTCGTTAATCTTAAGGTCAAACAATTCGAATCCCCGTAAGACGCCTGTTATGTTTTATCAATTTAACTAAATCAGTCATTGTTTAACAAGACTTAAAGAAATTTTTTTTACAAAATAGCTCACTTAGCTAATATTTAAATATTTCCCCTTTTCCCTTTAAAATAGTTCTAATAAATAGTTCAATTTTGCAAATCAAGCTAAGTTAAAATTATTTTAGTCAGATAATTAATCGCCGGATAACCGCGTATTAGCGGGCATTTTTGGTGCTTTAAACCCCTTCCCAAAATGATAATATGAACCTCGAACCCCTTTGATTACTTTCATTAGATTCCTGTTTTGATCTTTTGAAAAAATCGGTTTTCTTAATTTTCCTTTAAAAATTAAGTGGCGACTCTTAAACCAGTCTAAAATTCTATTTTAAATAAAACAACTTTGAGAGGGAGCATGGTTTGTCTTTTTATGATATTATGTTTATCAATTGACGACATGTTTTAAATAGTTTTCTTTTTCTTTATATTGCACTTGTTTTAAACTGCTTTATAATGAAATGAGTTCAGTTAAGTATTCATGAGTTGAGAAGAGCCAAGGGAAGTTTTTCTTTCAGAATCATTTCAAGCATATATCTGTTTTAGTATTCCAACTCGCATACTCGTACATTCAATGTACTGATGCCAATTGGCCTGCATCGTATTATGATGCAGACGCAGGTAACTAGGATCGGCATCCAGCGCATCGTTGATCCAGTGAGCAGTCCAGAGTCTGTTGGTGAGCCTCTTTGCATTCCGGAGGATCCCTTTTTATTTACTTTCAGTATTAGATAGTTCATTAGGATGTCGTGGGCCTTTCCCGACATCTATCTCAGTTATTAGAGGCTTCATTGATAGGCAGTCAGTTAGTCATTTGTCTTTACTTTGTTATTGACTTATGTTCAAAGTTGAGTTGCCATTTTGGCTAAGTCAAATGTTTATTTTTAAAGCATTATGAGTTCAGTTGAGCAGTTCAACTTATTCTGTTAAAGTACATTTATAGTGTTTGATCATTATAAATATGCATATAGTCTTCCGCTTAGTTAAGTAAGCCAGGCCAAGGGTTCGCTTGAGGCCAGTAATGGACTTTGAGTGCTAGTCCCACCCAGGGTGTAGGCTCGGGGCGTGACATGTTTATTGATTCCCGTATTATATTGATTGTTTGTAGACCAAGATCATGCGGAATGAATCCGAAAAGGGAAGAATCAAGTTTCTTAGGGTTTTAAGCTTGTTTCGAGGTAGGTGATGGTTGTGATTCTATTATTGTGTGATGTTTGTTTGTTCTTGCTTCATTATGGTACTTGTATATGTATGAATGTTGCAATGTTGATCACACTTGTTATAATATGATTGCCCTGAAATCATGATGTAAATGTATAATCTTGATGATGTAGTACTTGTGATTGTGATTGTGGTGTGTGATTGGGATCAGTTGCCACGTTCCGACATAACTAACTGGGATCGGTTGCCACATTTCGACATAAATATGGGATCGGTTGTCACGTTCTGACATAACAATGGGATCAGATACCACGTTTCGGTATGCTAACTGTTTGAGTTTGGGTTCCGTGAGAGGGCCAGTGATTTGTGATAAATGTATATTGATGAGAATGTTGATAATATTGTAGATGTTGATATTTATGTATGTGATTATAATGTTGTTTGACTTGTTTATGTTACACTAGTGGGATAGTTGTGTGATCCTACCAGTACACTATGGTTGTGTACTGATTCTGCACTTGCTCTTATTTTTGTTGAGTACAGGGCATCTTTAAGCGGCTATTAACATACCTCGCTTAGGGGATTAGAGATCGTCGCATCGAATTCAAGGGTGAGCCAAATCTTCCGGGCTGCCATGAGATTCTCTTTCGTCTGTGTCCACCATTTTCGGACTTAGACATTTGTTTAGTTAGTGGATTAGTTCATTAGTTGGGGTTGTGACCCTTCATGTTTCGACTTGTTATTTCGTTAGTAGTTTTGGTACATTGACTTTCAGATTCTAGGTTGTTTCTTTCGCATTTGTTTAGTATAGTTCTTTAGATTTCTT